ACTTTACTCCCTCCATAATGCAGGGATTAATTTCTCAAAGCCGATTTGAGCTGCGGCACGCTTCAGCAAAGAGCGGAGAGCAGAACTTTTGTGCTGGGGGAAGTTTCCCCTTCACACTAGCTTAGAGGTGGACTGCTCTCCCCTTTATGCCGCTTGCTTTAATCTTCACACGGAGCGGTGAGAGTGAGGGATAGAGGGAGGACAAGAAGGGGAGAGGGCTCTCAACACGCAGCTGGGAATCACTAATGTCTTTACAGAGGTGTTGTCTGCTTTCCCATGTGCCTCTTTGAATCCTTTTGCTTCCTTTGCTATTTCTCTGGCATTTCCTCCTCTTACATTTCTGGACTAATTGTTGTTATTGGTTATGCTAAGAACTGTGGATGTTGTTTTTCACCTCATGCATGTGGACTTCTGAAGACCTTCTTTGCTCTCCCTACAGAGCCCCTTCAAGTCTGCATATGCAGTATATAGCAATCATGTGGCTTTAGTGCACTACCAGGTTTTTTGTATCTGCAGTCAAGCAGTCCACAAGTAATATGAATAACATAAAAATGTCTAGCAGTGTCCATCTGTGCCTTGCTGCCACACTGACTGCATCCCTCCGATCATACATTGACCCCAGCCAGCAGGTCTGGCTTGGTACTTCTGTCGTCTCTCGCTTAAGTGGAGATGCGCTGATGAGCTGTCCCGGTGTCCCAAATCATGGTGAAGGCCAGCTGAACTTATGTAGTCCCATACTTCAAGCAGAGCTGGACCCCTTTAACTTTTGGGTTCCCTACATCCCTGAAGACGATGGGCAAGATTCCAGTGGCTTAGCTCAGTTGTTCCTGTTTTCAGTTAGGAGCATTGGAGTCTGATAATGAGCCATCGAGAGCCCCTTGTTTGCTGCTTTCACTGTTCCCACTGCATCTGTGAGCCCTGCTGGATCAGCTCTTTCTGTCAATGCTGTAGTCATTTGGCCAACACTAAGTAGTTGGCAGATTTTAGAGACACTTATGTCCTGACAGAGCACTCGGCACCTGCTCACAGCCTCTTAGTCAGGGACATTTATGATCAGGAGCCACAGGTCAGACATCCCTTCCTCGCTGTGGCTTGACCTCACAGAGCTCTGGTCATTCATAGAGGCACCACATAGAGTGGTGTTGACATCTTACCCAAGGATTTATTCAGATTGACACAGCTTTTCTCCCAATAAAACCTTTTTCAAAGCACACAAAAGTGGGAGTGGATTTCTCTCACCCTGGTTGTTCCCAGTCATATTACATATGCTGACAGAAAAACCACGGGAGCTCTGTTCGTGCTATCACAGCTAGACAGGGCACGCGAATCAATGGGAGTGTCTGTAGATGTTAGGCTACCCTAAAAATGGTACGCCCTACCCAAGGGAAAGTACTTCTGTTTATGCCTGTTAAGTGCTCCAAGTTAATGTATTGATTTTCAGCACTGGTGCATGTAGGGAGGCTCAGACTCCATATTACGCCATCTGTCTCCAGTGCTGTCCGACCTCCAAACATCCGTACCAAAAGAGCTAGCTCCAGCTATGATTGCCTTTGTATGCCACTGCTGTCTTATCTTGTCATGAAGGCTTAAAGAGATTTCAGTTTTTGTGCATCCTTTGTTAACTGCCTTTTGAAAGGAGTCACGCAACCAAGACCTGTCTTTGGCATCACAGTGTGATATATCGATGGTGCTGCGCATCACAGTTTGAGCCAACAGTCAAAATGTCTTTCAAAAGGCTGTCTCTGAAATATGTTGCTCTTAGCTTTACCTTAAACAGTGTTATGCATGTTATCAGCCCCACTATCTTGTCTTGTAATTAGTGAAGACACGGTGGGACCACAGCCACTTTACAACCAAGCTCCATTTTTACACCTCAAACAACTTTTCTAGGTTGAAGGTTAACTAGAAGGCCATTTTTGTTCCCCCTGGCTCAGAACAATGAAGCAGCTGAGCAATCTCTCTGCCCAGTCCTCTGTCTCATTATGTTTTGTGCACCACTAACACGAGGCAGATGCAGCAACTGTTTGTCCACCTCAGAAGACTCTCATAAGCGATTTCTCTGTCAAAACAGCATTTGGCTCACTGGCTGTGTAATGCTTGCACGCAAGTATACATAACAGCAGGTGCAGAGCCTCTGCAAGACGCTCATACTCGCGCCACAGGAGCCATATTCTCGTCCACAGCTCTCCTCAGAGGGACTGCGGTAGCAGACATCTGCACAGCAGCATCTTAGGCCTCTTCGTGCCCCTTCATCCATTCGCCTCTGCACCATGTGTCTGAGTCATCCCTGAGATGATGTTTTTGTTTTTTTTTTTAATGGTAAATGACCATGATGTACCCATTCCTCAGCACTATAGTTCTTCTAGTAGTATGCAGCTTTTCTTTCTGAAGTTTAATTTGAAAAGAAAGTCTGCCATAGAGGACCAAAAACTGTATTTCAATTCACTATTACTTATAAAATTATTCAAAATAAACTTTATGCATGACTTGAGCATCGGTGTGATGGCTTTCAGATCGTGCAATCTGCATTTTGAATTTTGAAACATGATATTCATCAGTCTCTCTGAAGAATTGCTGTCCAACTCCCTGTCCCAGTCTCATTTACAGTGAATAAACAGGCAAATCTGATTGAAGATTTACTCTCAAACCGTGAGAAGCCTGATAAAACACCGACTAACACAACTCCCCCTTTGCCACCGATGCAATGTACTGTTGGGTATGTTGTTTGCATACTAAAGCATCACACTCAAGGTAATAACATTTATTATATTGTATTGCAAGGGGACAGAAAGACGATAGCAGATGATTATGCCCGGTATTTGGTTCATTTAGCAAGAGTAAAGCTGCTAAGATAGCTTGTGACCCAGAGAAGGCAGGAGTTAACTCTCAAAGGCTATTAGGATTTCATAATTTACATTATGTAGATAAGAGCCTGCAAAATATCTCATCTGCTATATTTTGTTCATTTTGTTATTGTGCCCAAATATAGAAGTCTGCTTAGAATTTATGAACTTGAAGAACTTTCAGGTTTTTTTTTTCATATTTTGTCCATAAATGTGAAAAATATTTCTTTAAATCAACCACTTATGCTCTCTGTTTTTCAGACTTGTAAAAGAGTTTTGATGAAGAAAACATCTTTAATGCAAGCTATGATAAGCCTCCAATAATGAATTATCCAAATCCCGTGTTATTGCAGCAGGAGTTCAAATCCATTTAGCACGGGTCTGCGAGACAGCATCCGGAGGAGGTGATGTTTGGTTGTGTAGGAGGTTTACAAAGCTTCAGTCAGAGATGAAACTCATTCAATCTCAGACTCCAATCCTCAGCTCCAATAAGACTTTAATATAAAAGGTATGGATTGGTACTGCAACTTTATGAGCTAAATAAAAAGATCATATTCTCTAATGTATGCCGATAGACTCTCAACGCACTGGCAGCACATTTGCACACAGTTAATATGCACATGCATGCAGTATTGTGCACACGCTGACCCTTGCATGCAGGCACTGAAACACATTCCGCCACACTCCCCCCTGCACACCCACACAGTTGCCTACAGCAATCCTACGCAGAGTTAATTTGCATTTACAATTATTTCCCATACGCTCGGTGCTGGTCGAAAGGTGGGTGTTACATGATAAAGCAGTAAGTAATATAACCTCAGTCCTCAGAGAGAGAGATTTCACAGACATGGTGTGGTAATGCTGAGAAAGTGCAAGAGAAAACCGGGAATAGAAATAGCTAGAGGATGTAACCAAAAGCTGAAGTTTATTGTAAGTTTATATGAGGTATTAACCTCATAACAAATGGATAAAGAGTAAACAAATAAGTACGAGATGTCCTTAAAGGTTAAAGAAATAAATGTGTTTTCAGGGCCTTTTTTACTTCATTCTGAAGTAATTCTTTCTTACATGAGAAATTACATTTATGGAAATAATCTTAAAGTATCTTAAAGGAAATTAAAGATGGTCAAACATTGCTGCACAGCACCACCTGGTGGACACACTTCACAACTGACTTTTAAATGAAAACAATCTGCAAGTAAAGTTTTAAGTTTTTTCTTTCTTCTTGTTGGAAGTTTGACTGTCTCTTTTCCATTTCCCAGCAAGGGCCACGACCTTAAATACGACACAAAAACATGTATTGATAACGAAGCATCGAGCTAGGCTTAAGGTTACAGCTGAGACGAGAAGGAAGGGAAAGGATGCCGTTGAACTGGTAACCTAGTGCCATTTGCTCAATAGGTCAATAGCAGATGTTGTGGAAAGAGAAGGCTCTTGCGCGCCGACTGAAACAAATCCCAGGGCATTGCTGGAGGGCAGGTGGTCGTCACACGCAGTGACACTGCTGCGGCTTTGACCTGAGAGAATATGGTTTCGATTTTCCTTTCGTTGCATTGTGAACTTCGAGAGGTTAAAAGCAGTTTAAGTGACTCGGCTTTACTTTTTGAGAAGTGATAGCTAGTCTCTCTCTTTTTCAAGCTTGGCAATAATGTGGTGTGTCAATTCTAGTGCTGAAACAACAAATGAGTGAGAAGGCGAGAGATTACTTTCAAAAGTAAGGGTTGCTCAACATTGAAATTCTATAAACTGGAAATTTGAGTCTTAAATGTAACACCCTCATTTACTGTAGAATTTCACATCTATACATGATGTTTTGCTGAGTTATATTTTTATGAATTGTATTGCAAAACAAACTGATATCAAGGGTTGCATGAGAATACTGGGCAGTTTAGTGTGTCTAAACTGGTTAGTTTGCACTGTATGTATGTATACAGTATGCTTGGTTTGAAGTACAAAGGTGAAATAAGTGACTCTGAGCATGGCATGGTTGTTGTTGCCAGACGGGCTACTCTTAATATCCCAGAAACTGCTGATCTACTGAGATCTTCCCGCACAGTCGTCTAGTGTTTACAGAAAACTCCATAATAAAATGAGCTGGGCTAAGGCTAACCAATTTAAACCTCAACATCTGACATGGAAGACAACGAGGAAAAAAAATGTGCTCGTATTGGAAGTTTTTTAATAACACATTTCAATATTGCAACAGCCATCAGATTTTCTCCTAACGGGTAAAAATCATTTAAAAACTAACAAAAACAAAAGAAACTTTTTTTTTTTCCAGTTGTATATTCCAAACATCAGAGTTTCTTGGCTATTGCCCTAAAGTCAAACAAATAAAACCCTTACACAGTGAGCAGATATTATATTCAACACATTGTTCTTCAAACAAATTATAAAAATAGATTTAGCATTTTCAAATACATATATACAATATTAAACATATCGTAATGGTCACAGCAACATATTGGGGGACAGAGCGGGAAACATCTCCGGTTTCATTCATCGTGGTGAAGAGGTCCAGGCTGTTTTGTAGTCTTGTGTGTCTGTTTAAAAGGTGTATTTTTGGATACGTGTGATGCGTTTTATAGCAAAAGGAGGGTACAAGGAGGGACATTTTTACCAAATTTATTCCAATTAATTTTTGCACCTTCTACTGTGAATCTGTAATGCCCCGATAAATGTCTTCCCCAACCAAATGGAAAAGCCAGATTGCTGTACACAGGGAATTCTGGGAGTTAACTGGAAAAAGTGCAACCATATAGTCTGATGGAGCATGATATTAACAGCAACATAAATTTAAACCTGACAATCCAATAGCAACCAAAAGGAAAAAAATATCATTGATGTTCTGTAATACTGTATCCGTACTGCAACACACACACACACGCACACACTGTAATGTGTATACAGCAAATCTAAACGGTAACGAACCTAAAATTAACTGTTGCAAATCCAGCGTATAGAAATACACAGATACTGTGTGCTGACAGTAAAAATCCTCCAGTGTTCCTCTCACTTCCTCTTTACAAAATAATTTGTTCAGGTACAAACTCACAGTCGAAATAAGTCAACGGATCAAAAACGAAACAAGACAACTGCTTTGCTCAAATTATTATTTTTTTAAATACTTAAGTTTAAATAAACCATCCCAACATCCTCTCTGGAGAGGTCTGTGTTGCAGTCTGTAAACATAAATAAATATGGATAAATATCTAAAATCAGACCACCTTCCAGAGATAGCCCGAGTCCTATACAGAGTAATAAACATTGTAGTGAGAGCCTTTGGAGAGGAGGATCGTGTTATCCAGATGAAATCCAGCAAACTAAAGGGAATGATTTAAGCTTTAAATGCACACAGAAAGCATGGAGAAGAAGAGAAAGATATAGGGACTAAAGCAAACGTAGTTAGGAGTAGCGAAACAGACAGCGACGTACAACAAATTCATGAACAATCAAAAACACATTTTCAACCCTTTTCTTTACAATTTCATCCTGCAGCGATTGTTTCACCATCAGTAGTACCAAACAGGATAAATGAATGCTGATATCCCTGCTGAAAGAACAGCATAATATCAACACAAATATTTTTACTTAAGTCCGTTCATGCCATGAGCAAACTTTAGATAACGTATATAGCACTACAATGAATCCTCGCCCCTCTCATTCTGCCACTTTGCGGCTTCATCCAATCTCCGGCTTCACTAACCTGAATAGCACGGTCTTCCCAACCTGCTGCTTTGAAAACGCAAGTTACATTCCAGCCATGTTTATTCTTTAGAGTATTTCTTTACCATCTGATATGAGATCAGCTTTGACCGTTCTTGATGTGATTCTGTATCTTCGTAGTAAATCAGTTCCTGTTGATGTGAAATCAGCTGTGCTAGTTCTGAGGCATTGTTTTGACCCAAGGCCAATAAAATAGTTCCCTTCATCGAGAATATCTTGGTTTTAGTGAATTCATGTTGTAAAGGGATATTTCACCCCAAATGTTCACGTGTCTTCGAGCTCTAGTTCAAAATTGCTGTGCGCGTCTCTCCCACAGATCAGAGTTCGGCTTCAGACAGAGACATTTTTAATTTGTCTTTATGCGCTGATCTAGAACCAGTAAGATGGAGCCAACGCAGGTGTTGAAGGTCAAAGTGCAGATAGAGGTCACAAAAAGTCACATGACATCACTCCTCTGCTATCCCCCCCCCCGGTTATGACATGAACACAATGTCACAACGGATCGCAGTCTTCAAGGGGGACTTGTTGAAAAGAGAAAGGAAGGAATAAAGGAAGGCATGAGGAAGTGTGGGAAGGAGGAGTAAATAGCTGAAAGATCAGCTCATCTATCTTTATGTATGGAAGAGCTCTCTCTCTCTCTCCTCGCCTCCACCCCATCATCCATCTGCACACATGTAAGGATCTGCAGCAGCACGAGACTAGGTGAGTTGACCGTTTAGACCTGCACACCACGCCCGTGCATTTGGATGACCTGGGCTCTCAGAGTCTGGATGGCAGCCAGTATCAGCTTCTGGTGCTCCAGGGAAGTGATGCCAAGGCTCAATACATCTCTGTGAACACAAGATTTACAGAGATCAGAAGACGTGGATTGATTGTTTTTAACAATGCTTCGCTTTTATGATTTTTGTTTAACAAATATGTAAGACTGAAAAGGCAGTTTTAGTCAGCTTACTTTAAAATGCAAGCCAAACCCAAATGTTAAAAAACATGATGCAGTGGAATTCTAATCCTTTACACTAAAAAATACACCATTACTGTATATTTGACCTAACAGTAAGGGCACCAGTTTTTGCAGAAACATTTTTCTGTAGCAATCTTTATATGAAAGAGAATGAGGCTGCACACATATGTTTTCAGGGAATACCACTTCCAGTTTCTTAAATGTATTCGTTTGCGTCTTTATATTAATTCAGCACAGACGCCCAGCTGTCTTAGATATGGCTGACGCAACTCTCTGACACACACCCCTGAGCTCAAATGGGAAAGACGTCATTTTAGATTCAGATTAAGAGATTAATCTCAGAGTTCACTGGGTCAGTTTGACACTTTGAGGCTTTTAGAAAACTGGAAAGGTCTGCTGCTTCTTAGAAATTCTTTCAGTGTTAATACTCAACACTGTAAATAAGAAACTCGTGTTCTTCGTGTCAAATTTCTTTGACGATAGTCAACATTTATGGTATATAACAACTGCCATATTTAGACATATTTAAATGGAGCTAAAAAGGTTGGTGCCTTCTGTAACATCTCATTTTTTTAATATACAGTTAACATGTTTTATTATGAGATAAGTAAGTTATCTAGTAAATAAACAGCCAAATATTTGCTCAAACACAGGGTGACGTCTCCTTACCTACATATATCTTATAAACATTGATTCAGTTGCTTTTAAAGTCTTGAATATTAGCAGTTTTTTACTAGAATGAATTGGCTTCTCCCTTCATTGATCTGTGTTCTTATTCTTTTATTAAGGTACCCTTCTGTTAAAAAAATGTCATGAAAAGGTCACACAGTCAGAATTGTACAAAACTACTCACTGTACAGTCATTCGTGCCACAGACTCCAAGTAGCAGTATCCCGCAGCAGTGAAGTTGTCCTTGTATCGGCCCATGTCTACTGCATCCAGCCACTCTCCAACAGAGTTAAAAGATGGGAAGGTGGGGAGAGGCCTGTCAGCTAGTGTAATGGATGAACTCAGGGTTCTATAGTGGAGGAAATAACGATTAAGGCTTTGTAAAAGTAACTTTTTAAAAAAAAATGTATACATTCAAGGATCTACTCCAACTCATGTAGTCATGAGACTGTACCTTCGCGCCAGTGTGGAGGAACCGATACCATCAGGCGAGCGAATGCTCTTGCTGAGGGCCGAGTGGATCTGACTGAAGCTTGGCCTCTCCGTCCTCTCCTTCTGCCAACAGTCCAGCATCAGCTGATGGAGATGTGGAGGGCAGTTAACTGGAGCTGGCAGCCTGAAACCGTCCTCGATGGCCTTTATCACCTACGCACAGAAAGAGGAAATCGATAATATCAGATTAGAAATTAGTTTTGTGATTTTCCAGTACTCATGGTATAATTGGATACATTCTTAAAGAGCATGTCTGAGTGGTAGGGCAGAGTGGGAGAGGTGAACGAGGATGTAGAGAAGTTTTGTCCTACTTTCAAAGTTCAATAAGATGCTTAAAACCTTTTCCCCTTGCAGTGGACTTGCTTAGTTGCCAAGAATAGAAGTCTTACAGAACAGAACAGAAGACTGTATAGGTCACACGTGGAAAAAATAATTAAATAAAAGTACATAATGATCACACTACCTAGAATGTCCCACTGCATGGCTTAAAATCTAAAACTGACCTTGTAAGCCTGCGGAAACTGTAATACTTAGATTTCACAGAGATATCATCACCCTAATATGAGTGGAATACATTATGTTTTTGGTAATAAAAAGGCTCCAGAACTGTACAGCAGGTATGCAGAGGGGAAAAAAAGAGCCCCTGCAAATTTGTTCACAACTAACTGATGCTGTATGCAGACTGAAAGGTCAGTTAGTGGGATATCCACTGTCACTTGGAGTACTTCACATGATACTTACTGGGTATCACAATAACAGCACCTTTTCATTTCCATTAATACAATATGCGGTAGCTCTTTGGATTGGGGGAAAAAAATCAAACCAGCCAAGTTTGAAATAGCAGAAACATCAAAGCAATGAAACAAACGCTCCATTAAAAAGTCTGTGCTTTCTTAAATACTCCCCAAAAGATAAACTATCAAATTTCAGAAAATGTTTAATCTCTGCTCAGCATCATCACCAGGCCTCTGAAAACTCACTGTCTTCAAACAGCAGTACTTGAAAGCATCCTTCCAGACTCTTGATGTTCTTTACTGCTCCATCAAGCTAATGTCGCCCCCTATTAAAAATCATTCACTCAAGCACCCCGCGAGACATTTCCTTTCAGTATATCTAGGGACATGGGATATATCCTCCACCGCAACCACTCTAAGAAATACAATCTCCTGAAAGGAGGCAATAAAGTCTGAGAATAATCACAAAAATGACATCCATCAGCAGCATTAATTCCTAAAACACTCTCTTCTCTCTCTGCCTACCCGGCCACCCACTTCCCCACTCCACCATCCTCTCAGCCCCTTAAGCTTCTATCTCAGTAAAGAGCATTCATAAAATGCTTTTCAGCATTTGACATTTTCCATTTAATCAGAGCCGGTAGGTAAAGGGCACGACGGATCACAGGTGGACAGGCCGACCAACAATTCCGTTATGATATAATGTATCAATTTAAAGTGGATTAATATCCCTGGCGCTCTACAAGCTTGATCTTTGCCCTCTCAATTGGAAAGTTTGATAATATAAACCATGCTGAGATGAAACTTTCTCCAGCTTTATAAAAGGGCACTAACAAAGAGTATTAAAAAGCTACCTATTCTTGTGCTCGCTGAATAACTCATGCATATTAATTTGGGACATTCAAAAATGGAACATGCAAGTAATCGGTTGCTTTACACGTAGCTGACTGCAGAAAGTGTAGTCTTTATGATAAAATTCATTTGAAAAGGCATTAGGATGATGAAAAATAATATGTCGTGAAAAAAAGCTCTTTGCTGATAATGCCTCGAGTGTCACTGGCCTCACTAATAAGAAAAGCAGTAGCAAGGATCTGCTGTCTGTTGTCTCATATGCAGACCTGTATCCTGCTTTCAGCTATACTATAGAGGCATGACATCCTTAAAAAGGGGGGAAATATAAACCTATAAAGAGTGACAAGGAAAATAGACCCACCCACAGTGACTTTTAAAGGTTGCTAGTGGTGGCAGGGTCCTATTAACTGGACAGTCACTCCCCTCAAATAGTGCTTTACATTTCTTGAAATAAGCTGACTATTTTCTGAGAGATTTTCTACACTTAATAGCAGGGTGGCAGGCAGGGATAGGCAGTGGACACTAGAAGGGGGTCAATGCATCCTTAAGAGAAAACAGGATTGGTCATGGAGCTGATGCAGACTTAAAGAGGGGGACTTAGGCCCTGCAATAGCTCTCAGAGGTACTGTGGCTTCTCGGTTTTCTATTAATAAGATGCATGGTGGGCACAGATAGAAAATTCATTGATAAAAAAAAATTAGAGAGCGGCAAAAAAGAGAGAGGTAGGGTACAAAAGTATAGAAATTAATATTGAAATTGGAGCAAGGAATATGGAGAATTTAAATGCACACTTACATCCTGGTTGCCCATATCCCAGTAGGGTCTCTCGCCGTAGGACATGACCTCCCACATGACAATGCCAAAGCTCCAGACATCTGAGGCAGAGGAGAAACGATGGTACTGGATGGCTTCTGGAGCGGTCCACAGCACCACACTTTTCCCTCCATGCTGGCGGAGAGGAACAGGAGAGGTAAGACAAGATGTAAAAGGGTGTGGAGAGTTCACCAAAGTAAAGCTTTAATATTCTCTTTGAAAAGCTTTGAGCATATTTCCAGCAGATCAAAGGAACCGTTAGGAGATTGGGTTCACCTTGGACTGAAATCCTAAAATAACCATAGAAACACTGGATTTTTCTCCCCCTCTACCTCAAAGCCCATGTGACCTCACCTGAACTTGACATAACATATGATAATTCCCATTTGATCAGACTCATTAAGAAAATATGCCCTACATGTGTAAGTTATAAGATGTATAAGGTTGTAGAAAAAAAAGTTATCTCACCAGCGTGGTGTAGATGGCCTCTATTTTGTCCTCCTGAAGAGGTCTGAAGCCAGACACCTTGCAGCCAAGGTTGGAGTTAACCAGCACCTGCGATTTGGAAAACAGGCTGATTAGCATGTCTTACATTTGGAGGGGAAATGCTCACAGTATAAGAGCTCACTACCCTGGTGGGCAAAGCTCTTATCACACCAGGGACAATTGATTGTTTACAAGAACAGATGTTCCTGATTTTCCACAACATGACCACTGTATCTGTAGTTTGATAGACTGCCTCTTTTATGAAAGACAAAAAAACCAAACCAAACAAAACACACACACACACACACAGTCGTGTTTTCATATCCTTGTGGGGACATCTAATTGGCATAATGCTTTCCCTAGCCGTTTACCATAACCGTAACCACCAAAAATGAAAGCCTAACTCTAACCCTAACCATAACCTAATTGTAACCCTGACACTAAAACCACATTTTGAGTCTCAAAAATGCCTTCCAACTTGTGGGGACGGGATTCGGTCCCCATAAGGGGTGTTGGTCCCCACAAAGACATGTAAACATGGTACACACACACACACACACACACACACCCCTAATGAAACGTGGGTGACACAATAATTTAGACAGTTTTGTCTAATTTTCAGCTTCATGTAGTCTTTCAGTAAAAAACCTACAGGTGAGTGCTTTCAAAGATGTTTGCAGACAAGAACGAATTGTAGTCTGCAAAAACTCATTACAGAACACGACATCCTGTTCATCACACCATACCTGTCCTCTATCATCTACTCCCACCTGCTCCCCTTACCTTGTGCGCGGCGAGCCGTTTGTGGACAAAGCCCATTTCGGTGAGGTACTTCATCCCCGACGCCACTCCGGTCAGCATATCCATCAACTGCATTATACTCAACTGGCCTTCATGTTTCTGAGGTTACGGAAGGAAAAAAAGAAAGATGAAGAAGAGGTGGGAGAGAAGATTGTGAGCAGGGTGAATGGAAGGGGGAGAAAAAAAGCACATGTGCCTCTGCTTTACAATGTTGTGCTTGCTGAGCTGAAAACCTTTATTTGGAGAATAAAAACAAACAGGCCATTAATTCATATCATTATAAACCACACTGAAGTGGTTCACAGAGCAAAGGGGCACACTAACAGTTTACAGAGGCTTACAGCAGCTTTGAGCAGAAACACTCCATTTGTGCAGTTAATTATGCTATGTTTTCCTTATTACAGTAATAAGCACAAGAATTGCTGCCCTAGGACCACATTATATTAACGGTATATTTAGGACAAGTAGAACAAAAGTGTTGTTAGTGCAGCTGCTTGAAAACAGAGAGTAGTAATGAGTAATTATAGTTTAATAATGAGCATTAGCACATATATTTAAGATGAATGCACAGTAATGAAACTTACCCTAAGGAATGAATCTAAGGCTCCGTTAGACATGCACTCCACTATGATCATCATGGTGTTTCCTGGACAAAGACATGACAGAGGGCATATATGAACAATTGAAACGGGGATAAAATTGCGAAGTCAAGGAAAAAAGGGAAGCAATAGCATGATAATAGAGACATGGAGGAAAAGGGAAGGAATAAAGTGAGTCTAGTCCACTTGGCAAGCATTGTGCGAAGCCATTCTTCACTCGGTGAACTGTAGTGAAGCCTGGAGAACCTGTGCGCTGCCCTGGCTGTCTCAGCAAGTTTAACGACCCTGAAACACTCACACACGCACGCTCTTACTGTGCACAGTAGCACGCGTTCATATACACTACTCACGTGCTCACACACATACTGTGCCGAGGCCCAGATGGCAGGGATCCAGTAGTGCTATGAAGTGCACGGAGGAGGGAAATGAAAATAAAACTGCAGTTGTTGGAAGGGAGACGAAAGGAGGAGAAGATTGCGGGAGGTTGAGACAGTAAGATAAACCTTGACAGATATGTAAACAACTTTACATCTACAAACACATATTCTAGGATGGAAAGGTGGTCTGATCAGTCCTGACAGTTTATGCAGGCATAATACAAGAATGATAAATTGCCACTGTAAAATCCCCGGTTCCCAGTTTCCCAGCATTACTAGGCTTTTAGGAAGCTATTTGAAAAGGTTACCAAATATGCTGTGGGAAGTGAGAGCCAGGGATGCTGCCATAATTTGCCGCCATAATTTGCCAGCCATCATGTAATTAATGTGAGCTGGATAATGAGTCTGTGGTTGAACGGGCTGGAATGGCCGATGTATTCAGCTACAACCGTGGACCGAGTAGAATCATATTCTGTTTTAAAAGATGTCACGAATGTGGGCAAATTCCGAAGGGAAACAAAAACAAAGAAGACACACTTTGAAACATATCTAAAAGCAAAGTCTTGACCTTTGTGGCACGGTGATGTTTTAAACTTTGGCAAAACTCCATCAGTCTATATAGAGACGAGAAAACAAAGCCTAGTGAAGCAACTTGCGACGTGGGAGCAATGTCACATTCTTGTAGGAGAACAAAAAGTCATCATAACCCATTATGCAATATGTCATAGTACTGACTGAGATGAGATGGCTATGCAGTAAAAATATGTCTATTTCTTGTGGTTATCTACAAGAACAGTTGTTTGCAGTCCTGCTACCAGCTGTTCCAGGTCTCCCACACTGTGATTTTCTTTCTGCTACTGTCACTTTTTTTTGATAATGATTATAATAGGTTTAAATAGTGACTTCATTGATCACCCATTTGAGCCCATGCCTCTAAATTATGAATAGAAAGATTAGTGTAGAACAAAGGGACAATAGGTGGTATTTTGCAGGTGAGTGAGATGTATTGGGCGGATGGAAGGGGGGCTAAATAAGAATCCGGTGGGGGTGTAAGTGATGTAAAGCAGGTGATTTGTAGTCTAACGGCATGTGGGCGTGCGTGGGTGTGTGTGCAAAGATTTGTGATTTCGTGCCAAGTGAAGAGGCAGGCGAGCAGGTGTGTGTGTGTTTGTCAGTGATGGTAAAGAAAAAGTGAGCATATGGGACAGCCTTTTCGTGTGTGCGTGGTGAGGAGTGTGCACGTGGGTTTTCGATGAATGTGTGTATGTGCGCATACGATGGTGGGAGGGATTGGAGTGCATCTCAGGGCCCCGCTGGGTCTCTAGCACCAATTACTGTACCCTGCACATCTGCTGCCATCCTACTGAGCACAGAGTGTGCTGGGGCACCGTGCCCACATACACACACACACACACACACACACATACAAACATCACCAAAAAGCATCGCAGCGGCAGTAACAAAAACTTCACAAACTCCTTAAAGCTTCTCCCTTCACCTGCCATTCCCATTAACCTCTACCTCATCTTCTGTGTCTCTCATGTCTCTTTCTTCAGTCTCCTCCCTTCAAGTTTTTTTTTCCCCACTCTCCTTCCATTCTGTTTTCGCTCTTGGACCTCAATTGCTATCTGTCAGCAGAAAATAGACCTTGATGTAGCTCCGCTGCTGCTAGCATAAGGCATCCATCTACCCACCCTGCTTTCTCCTTTTCAAACTTTACTTCTTGTTCCATCCTCCTCTTTTGCCCTCGTAAGCGCTGACCCCTCCACGTGTGAGTTATTGAGGTAGCTGGAGTGTCTTAGCACTCCTCCCAATCCTTGTCCCTTGCTACTCCCTTTTACCCTCTCTGTATGCAATTTTAAGATGCTCAAATCCCAGTTACCCCCTTTTCATCAGCCTTATTTCCTTCAACAACTGAGCTGGTCAAACTGTAGAATTTTCCCCTGATCCTTGGATTCCTACGTTTTTTTCCACTTTATGCTTCTTTTCATCTATACCCATTTTCCTTTGTTTTCCCATTCTTTTCCCAGTGGTATCCCCTTACTACTATACTACCTGTCTGTTTCTGCTCTCTGCACAATATCCCTCTCTCCCTCCTTTCTTACCAGTGGTGATAACGCCCTCCAGCCGGATTATGTTAGAGTGGTCAAATTGCCCAAGAATGCCAGCTTCGCTAAGAAAGGAACGGCGCTGCTTGTCAGAACAACCAGCCCTTAACGTCTTTATGGCCACAGGCAGCTCTCTCTTACTGGGCAGCTTCAGGCAGCCACGGCACACCTCCCCAAAGTCACCTGTGGGGGGAGACAAACAGAGGTCGTGATCAGTGTCAACGGATGCACAGAAAGAGAGCACTGAGGGAGAAAAACATCAAAAGAATGTGAGAAGAAATGAGTAAGGGTTCGACTGAAGGGGATAGAGGGGGAAGCCAGACTTAGATGAAGAAATACTACTTCATGTTGGGAAGAAAGAGTGATGACATTGAGAGAAAAAGATGAAATACAAAGGGATCAAAGAGAGATCAAAGATGGAGTAGAGTGCAGGTGAAACACTGAAGCATCTACTAGAGGCAAATACAATAGCCACAGTACTTTAGCGCAATTTTGGCAAAGGTCTGCAAGTTCCCAAATTTGATTGAACTGGATGCCAATTCAGCCTCAAAGCAGATTCACAGAAAGTGCAAGAAGACAGAGTTGACTTTGAAAGGTTTCTAATACTTTGGCTTTCTTTTTAACACAGGACAATATATTTTATCGTTTTTGTTATAATATTTGGAAAATTAATGGATTAAAATTGGTTGCCATTCATAATTTCTACTGTGCTATATACTGCTTTTGATTATATCCTCATTCCTAAAATGCACTGGCATGCTTAGCAAAATCTAAATGAAACAGAGGGAGTTATTCAACCCAATCTATTTAATATTTCATGTAGCATAAATACTACAAAGTCAACATGAGAGACGGATTTATATTTGTTTAATTAAAAAAAATATTCATTTTAAATGTAATGCCCGCAACATGTTTTTGTTCACTACTTCTTTAAACAGGAAACGCTCACTGTAGTTATGCTTCCAAAACCTCTCAAAGCAGAAATTATCCAGCAAGTTGCCTTTTCAGATATGGAAGCTCACATGTCATGTGCAATAATACTACAACAAACTAGATGCTATTTTGTTAAACCACAGTATAGCTTTCTAGTTCTCCTCAATCTTAAAGGAGCTTGGAGCTTAAAGGATAAACAATATGTGTACAATTCCATTGAGTATGTACAATGACAGTAAAGGGCTTTTCTATTCTATTCTACCCCACTCTAAAATTGCTGTGCCCACGCACCCTTTCACTGAGTGGTGAAGCCCATCATCTCTGGGATGAATAGTGGAATCTGAGATGCTTTCTTGTGTATAATCATGTACCTGTGTGCACAATTCTCTCGATCTTGATGCTCGAGTTGTCCAGCTCTTTGGCAAAAGCGTGGACAGCCTGAAGCAGGTCTTCGCAAGTCTCGGGGTCAATGTAGGTCCTCCGTGTTGGGATCTTAACTGCAGTGGTATAAACACACAAAAATATTTATATAGTTTTAAAACTGGTGATATAAAATGAGACATGTGTTTTCTACACTTTGTAAGACATTACATCATTTATTGTGCACATTCTTTATAACGTCTGAAGTACCCAGCAGCAACATATCCACATTAGATATAAAGAAACTCTCCCAGACTGGCTGGACCTCGCTCTCAACACAAAGCAGAGCATTTCTAAAGTCTGCATCGCTTTGTGTTCTACTGAGGCTACCATCAGTGAAAGGAATTGCTATGTCTGTCTCCTTCAAGAAAGACTTTCTCTGTGTATGATAGTTGAACATTAGACCAAAATGTTGTGTCTGGGAAGAAGGCTTTGCTCTTTGATCTCCAGCCTGAAATCAATACCAGAGTTTTACCATTGATGTTTGAAAATGCTGAAAAGCTTTCTTCTATCAAACTCTACATAGCTCTATATAACTGTA